ACGTCGAAGGTTAATCTTGAGTCAGGAAATGACTCGGAAGAGGTCGAGCTTGAACACGCTGTAGTAAAAGTTCAGGCTGCTTTCAGAGCTCATCAGGTACATTTTCTTTGCTGTAATAAAGACAAATCTTAATTAATACCAAGTTGAAATGGTAATTATGATGTTTTGGTTCTTCTACTGAAGGCACGTAGAGCATTTCGAACCCTTAAAGGTATCATCAGGCTACAGGCAGTTATCCGCGGTCACCTAGTCAGAAGACAAGCCGTTGCTACGTATTCATGTATATGGGGAATTGTGAAGTTTCAGGCTCTTGTTCGTGGCCAGAAAGCTAGATCTTCAGATAACGGGATTCAATGTCACAAAACTCATAAGGTATATAATCTCTTTATAGTACCTTGGCTACATAGTTGACTGATTTGTTGGCATTGTCACGTTTTTAATCAAGCTGTAAGTTCTTTTCTTCTATTAGGAAATCGCCGGTGATGATTCGGAAGCTTTGCAGTTGAGCACGTATAGTTGGATGAATAATCCCACAAAATTCTTCTTTGTTGAGAAGGTATTTTTTAACTTTTCTTTCATGGTGCCTTGTGAAATAATACTTTCCATAGCTCCTGCTCTATAAACTTGGATTTACCAATTGTGCAACACAATGTTGGTTGTTTGTTTCCGTGGCTTCTTTCAGCTTCTAGCTTCATCACCAACAGCATTGCCTCTGAAGATCCAGTATGGTCCTGAGGAACCTAACTCAGCCAAGGTTTGGCTTGAACGTTGGACACAATTGCAAGTTTGGTCTCCTGGTTCACGAGCAGCTAAGATTCTAGTTCCAAAACCTAAGACAAAGAAGCGAAATTATCAAGAAGTGGTTGAAACAGAAAAGGCCAGGCCAAAGCCAGGTGTCAAGAAACAGTCCGGCCGAAATATTGGAAACGGCTCTAACCGTTCTGCAACTGAAAGTGAGAAACCGAAACGAAATGTGAGGAAAGCTTCCACGCTTAGTAAAGATCCCATGAGAAATGAGAGTGACAAGGAGAAGCACAATTCGAGAAAAAGTAGAAGTGCCTCCAAGGAGGGATCTCCTTTTGAGATTAAAGACGTGAAGCCTAGGCCTAATGTTAAAAGATCATCTCTTTCAAACGGTTTAGAGAAAGCCACCCGTAAATCTGCTGAGAAGAAGAAAGATACTGCAGATTCTGTGCAGATAAAGCCTGAAGTGAAGGTTGCCGATGTTCTTGAAGGAGAAGACACTGTTGAGTCTGCTGAGAAGAAGAAAGATACGATAGATTCTATGCAGATTGAGCCTGAAGTGAAGGTTGCAGATGTTCTTGATGGAGAATTCAATGTTGAGTCTGCTGAGAAGAAGAAAGACACTGCAGATTCTGTGGAGATAGAGCCTGAAGTGAAGGTTGCAACAGATGTTCTTGAAGGAGGATTCACTGCGGAGTTTGCTGAGAAGAAGAAAGATACCGCGGATTCTGTGCAGATAGAGCCTGAAGTGAAGGTTGCAGATGTTGTTGAAGGAGGAGACACTACTGTTGAGTCTGCTGAGAAGGAGAAAGATGCCACAGATGTAGTTCCTAAAGTGTTCGATGTCGAGAAAGAAGAGATTGCACCGGAGGAAGATGAACCCAGAGCTGCAGAGACTAGTGATAAAGGTGAAGTCCTCAAATGCTCAGATGTGAAGGTAAGCTCTGAGAATGGTAATATTGGTTCTGATAATACAAAGCCAACTGAAAGACGAGTGTCACTGTCTGCAAATATTGACAATCAAGATGACGGGCTTAAACATAGCGGGAGGAAAATCCCCAGCTACATGGCCCCGACTGCATCTGCGAAGGCTAGAGTGAAAGGAGAAGGTTCACCAAGGTTTTCCCAAGAGAAAACTGAGAAAAACGAGACATTGCGGCGCCATTCGCTGGCTTCTCCAGCCAATGGTAAGATGACTACTACTACTATGTCTCCAAGGGCTCAAAAACTTCTCCTAGTCTCAGCCAAAGGATCTATGAACGGTGTCAAATCTTTTACTTCCTCTAAGGACATAAGTGGTAAGCAACACTCAAACTAACACAATTCTTTTATAAGTTTAAAGCTTTACTCAAATCGGTAATCTTTCATCTAATTTTGTTCTTAATTGGTTCAGACAAGTCAATCAGAACCGGGTGGAAGCGGTGAAGGTTCAAGCAAAAGTGTCACCACATCATCTTACATGGTCGAAGTCAATTACTTAGTGTGTTTTCTCTGCGTTTTAGTTTGGTTTGGTGAGTTACATCCATTTCATCTGTTGCTTCAGTTTACTCTGATATGTATGTTTGAAGACACAAAAAAAGTTAGTAAATAGTTCTTCCCTGTATAAATCTTTCATTCACTCCTCCAATCACACACAAACCTGAATCTCAAAACCTACATTCATATATTACACATACAAGCATAGAGCATTGGCTATTTTCTTAGATCGGTGTTTTCATCTTACACGCGGAGACTGAGTGTAAGACGGTAAAGGCGATGCACCAGGAGTTATTCTTGGAGATTTCTGCCCAACAGAGGAATGATGAGCTCTTGGAGATCCCATTTGGGTGTGTCTAGTTCCAGGTTTAGCAGCAGATTCTAGCTGTTCTAATGTGACTAAAACCTCTGACATTTTCGGCCTGAGCTTTGCATCGGGGTTTAAGCACTGCAACGCGAGACTAGCAGCTGCATAAGCTCCCTTTTGTGGATATTGACCGCCTAGTTTTGTGTCCATTATGCGAAAGAGCTTTCGCTTATCGCCAAGGTAAGGTTTCGCCCAGTCCACAAGACTATATTCGGTTCCACCATTTGAATTGTCCATGGCACGTCGTCCTGATATAATTTCCAGTAGCACCACGCCGAAGCTGTACACATCGCTCTTTGCAGTCAATCTACCTGTAGTAGATGAAGATGATCATTCAGAAAGTGTCTAAGAAGCAAAAACATTTTACAGGTCAAGGATTGTTGGTTAATGTCAAAGGGTAATGTGAGTTGGTAGAACAAACCTGTAGCGACATATTCAGGAGCTGCATATCCATGAGTACCTACGACCTTTGTGGACACATGTGTATTATCTCCAGTAGGACCTGCTTTCGCCAAACCGAAATCCGAAAGCTTAGCATTGAAATCCTGCATTAAGACACAATTTCAAACGGTTAAGAAGCAATCGAACCTCGAAAATGCTTGGAAGAGAGTTTCTGCTCGGTTTATTACAGTGTCGAGTAGAATGTTAGCAGCTTTAAAGTCTCTGTATATCACTTGTGACTTTGCTTCATGAAGAAAAGTTAACCCTTTAGCTGCACCTACTGCCACTTTCATCCTTATAGCCCATGTAAGTGGCTGCGCACCGCCTGCAAAAACCATTGACCTCACGATTTTAAAACAACGAAACACCGAAGAATATATAGAAAATACACAATGCTTCAAACTGAACGCAAGATTGTTGAGTTACAGAAAGCATACGTCTAAAAAGATGATTCTCCAAGCTTCCTTTAGGCATGAATTCATATACAAGAAGCCGGTTTTCGCCTTCCGCGCAATACCCAATTAGTAACACAAGATTTGGGTGACTAAGTTGACCAAGATAATTCACTTCAGTCTGCC